CGGTAACTGTTCGCTATTCACCTTACCAGTTTGGTACGATCACTATAAATGTCCATAAAAAACAGTTTTAACATCAACAACGGAAGCGTTACCGCATGTCCCACACCGTGAAGGATTAACTGTGAGCAGCAGATTAGCTAACCTACCTAGCGGTCCACAGACAGGCTCAACAGGTGGCTAGTCTGACAGGTAACGTAAGCAGCTCATTTAAGCTACCTGGGTTCATTCATCGTGCCCGGGAGCAGATAAAAGCTAACACCGACGAGTTTATCCTAGCTGGGTGAGTCTTAATTGTTAAAAAACGGCAAGAACACCTGTTGAGCAGCGTTAAAGTCGGCTGCCATTGATGTCATGTCATTGCTAACCTGTTACCTTAGCCTCAGGTTAGCTTACTTTTCAGCTACACGACAGTCCGAGTCGCACTGGTGTTAAAAGTAAATTAGATGTTATGTCGCCTCAATGACAGTTCAAGTGATACAAGGCGAGTTACCCGAGCAGGGTGAAAAGTATCGACGTAAAGTGACAGAAAATAGTGTAGCGACATCTTACCTGTTGAGCTGACTGTCACCGGGAGCTCCTGTGCAGTTCTGAGGCTGTGAAACTGAATCAGCTGCGGTCCCCTGCTCCTGCTCCAGGCAGCCCTCAGGGGGAATGCTTCACCATAACAACCGGACCTGCGCCCTCTTCTCCCACAGGACAGGCTCCACCAGAGGGCGACAAAGGCCGCAGCCTGTGGTGCAGGTCTGCGGCCTTTTCAGTTTACTTTAAAACTGTCCACTGAGTCCACTAAACTGATATGTAAGTAGTTAAATAAAAAAGTAAAGACAAAACAACTTCAGTTCTTATAGACTAGAACAATATACAACCGTTGGAGTGAAATGTAATGATAATGCTTGCTTATACAACTTGGTTTTAACAGCTTTTAAAAATTTTGGACAGTCATTCATCTGATCTGATATTGAGTGGGAGTTTGTCCCATATTGTTTGAGCTAATATAGTAAAAGCATAGCAAGCTAATATAGTGTAAAAGCAGCCTTTCTTCTGAAGTCGAATGTAAAGGGTGAGTATGCATGCAAAAGTGTTTGTTTGTATGTACAACTACATGTGTGCTGGAGTTCATCACATCTGTAATATATGTGGTTTGACAGATATGAATATGCTGTCAGGGTGTCATGGTTCTTCTCTCTCATGACAATACACTCGACACAAGCCTGACCACATGTTCCTTTCACATCCTCATGATTCACTATCAATTTAAAAGAGCCAACCAATGAAACAGGTAAACAGTTTTTAACCTTGATTGTCTGACTGGTTGCTTAATCAAAAGGCGCTCCCTGCAGCATCACAGTTACTGAACCCTGTGATCTGCTGACCATAGATCAGCAGATCAACTGACAAACCAACATGGCAGTGATGCTCTGCAGAGATACAACAAGGGCACAGCCTGGGATCATGAGCTTCTGTTACCATCTCAGGTCCTCAGGATAAAATACCATGGAATACTTTTATAATATTTCAAAAATAGAAACATTTACATTGAATGCAATTTCTTTTAAATCCTTTAAGACTCTTAAGACTCACATTTTTAATTGTGCTTTTATGTAGTCTGTCTCCTGCTCTTTATTTATTCTTACTGCAAGTTTTTTTTTAAATTCTTTTGATTTTGAATGGATTAAATATATGTACTGTATACAGAATGATGTCAAGCGCTTGTATTGTATGCACTATTGCATTGTACATATGAAAGGTGCAACACAAATAAAGTAGTAGTAGTAGTGTTAAATGTCACCATGTGATTTCAAACAAATGAGCATAGAAAACAATACTCAGCTTTTAAAACTGAATGTTTGTCACTGTTCAGGAGAACAAAAGTGTCACAAGAGCATCATATTAATGATAAGAAAATAAACCAGCTTTGATAAAAGGTCAGCATAACAAAGCATATTCACACTTTCCTCTGATGGTATCAAGCTGTCGTCCAATTTGTGCATATATTTTTGGTTTTATGAGCCCAAATTGATAGATCTCCATCTTGAGAATGGAGGAATTTCATTTGTGGTGCAAATGACATTTGAAAAATTCACCTTCGACTTTGCAGGAAACAGTTTCTATTGCAACCAGGACACCATTTCTGAAAAGAGACTGCTGTTGTTTTTCTTTTTAAATTTTACTTCTCAATGCTGTAAGAGCCTTCATTACAACGGGGTTTGGAGTTGAAACCTCAGCGATGGATATCTCAAAATCTGCATGACTAGATTCCACTATAGGTGTAAGCAAAAATGTGGGGTTTTTTTTTTCATAATTTCAGTGAAACAGCACGTAAAGCTGTACAATAGAGCCTTGTACAGTGTGGAAGAAGCAGAAACATCTGCCGGGCATCTTAAATTCAGACTAATTTTGTTTGACAAAAGTTCAAGAACTTCTGATGTAGGTCCTGAATACCCTGAATAAGTCTTCTGATGTATATCACAATACAGTACTTCATAATCCTGCATGTGACTCTGCCCAGATGGAAATAAGCTTCTAGCTATATTTGGTGCAATGAATGTATTGTTCAATCATCAAATAATAAAAGAAAAAAAAATAAGAAAAAGGCAATCTTGCCATAATGAGGGAGTGACACTTTCTCTGTCACAGAAAAACTAAACCTTTCTCCATCTTAGTTTCAGGATGCATCCCAGCACAGCTTAAGGGGGATTTGTCCAGACACAATCAGCCTTATGTGAACAGCCTTGTCCCGGATAGTATCCTATTCATTTGGTATTCCATTCTTCTCATGCATGACTCACTAATCCAGGCAAAACCTATTAAACAGCACTCCAGCAGACAGGAAGAGATAGATTGACAGTTTGTATTTAAATCAGCGTGTTTGGCACTGAGCAGCTCACTATGAGAAGTCATGTAAATTAGGATCTAAACATTGTGCATGATGGGTGAGGGGTTTGCCTGCACATGTTTACATGTCCAGTTCACTAAGAGAAAGACAAACTCTCACAGACAACAAAATGCATCATTCATTTTTGAAGAGATAATGGTCTCCAAGTGACTGATCCCTGAAGAGCTGTTGCATCTATTATTTGCTTCTCACTGAATTCTCAGTGAAACCACTAGAGGGGGACAAACTATGTGACTATGCGCGTGTGTAGCAACCGGAGAAGAACCTCACTCATGCAATTGTTTGCAGGTGAAGGAGTTTTGCTGCTCACCATGTTAGGAAAGCCATCTGACCTGCAAAACAAGCTCAAACGCTTCAATCACTGCAAAAGTTGCAAAAGCTGCAAATTCACGTGGTAAGTTTTTTCACAAAGGGGAATTATTTCTGAAAACGATACCAGGGTTTCGATGAGGTGAAATCCATTTTTCAGGTACAGCATGCAAATGTGGGTTAAATGCCATGCTTAATGTTATGGATGAAGCAACGTCGTAATTGAGCCGTGCAGTCTTAGTTTTTCTGTCTTTCTGGTGACTAATCTCGGTACAATCACTTGAATCAGGAAAGTTGTGTTTCTTTATCTTATCAGATGTAATATATCCACAGGTGGAATAAAAACGCTGAATAAATAAACAGTTAAAAAAAACAACAACTTTTAGAGGTCATTGTAAGATTTAGCCGTGTGGTATTACAGGTTGTTGATTCTCAGATCGAGTAAAGTGGTTTTTGTTTGAGAGATACTTCGAGGCAGTTTCTAACAGTTGGGGAAAACATGATTGCTCCTGTTTTAAGGTGTGAATGTCCGACCCAACTACAACACTTTGCAGCTTGTAAGCGCCAGAAAAACCCACAAATGGTGTTGAATAGCCCCTGTATTTCGTCACATGCTAAGCAGCTTCTTCGGGAAGGAGCAGTCTCCAGCTCGCCAGTGGGGTTCCTTCTAATCCAACTTGTTTTCACTGTCTTGCTGGGAAGCAAGGGTTTGCACATTAGCACTGCGTTAACATGAACAAAGGACATACATTCCCGAAACTTTAGTCTTTCAACGTTGAATGCCGTCCTGCAAAGTCCCGGGGTGACCCCACTGTGCGCACAACACCCCCAGAATGTTGCGCGCTCTCAGAGCTCCACAATAATGCCTCTTTTATTATTTACTCTGCATCTGATGACCAGCTCCAATTTGTAAACTATTCTCAAAATAGAAAAGCCCTTTTTGAGTTGCTGACACATGCATGGCTTGGTCTCCGGAATAAGGTTAACCTGCCAAATTTGATACTGATACTTTGAATTTGTCACAATTCAAAAGAAATTCCACGAATTCTGATCATTTATTTGATGTAGCCTGTTTAGAGCAATGATTCCTCAATTACTGCAGTTGACAACTTCTTATCTTTCAGTGTTTGTATATTAGCCGTTCCTTATGTATATTGCTCGCCAAAAATTGTTGATTGCATGTAAGCTTCAGTCGAAATTACTCCTCTCTCTTCTAGCCCACCCCATCCCCCACGAGTTATACCTTTCGCCTCTGAGCCCGAAGTGTCACTCTCGACAAGAAAGTCTTCAGTATTATTTGATACTAATTTTTTATGGAGATATTAAGACTAAGATTGAGATTGATCTCAGTGTCTGAGATGTCTCAAAAATAAACTTTATATGAAATGTATTGACTTATCCATCACTTACATTAAGCTTTTGTGCGTAAATCTTTTAAACACTGTTTCCAAAGCAAAGTCGGAATCTACGTTCTAAGTGGCATGTTGATATTATCTTAAGGGTTATTTACAGGTTTACTGTCTTCCTCTCTCTCTCTCCCCTCCTTGTACACTGACCCTGCCCAGTCCCCCCCTCATCCCCGGGGCGATCAGTCATTCAGCTCCCAGATAACGCGTCATTCTCTCCTCGATTACGCAGCGGGATTTACATGAAACTGTTAATTGTTTGCTCTTCAAATAGAGTCAGCTTGGAGCCAGCAGTCTGCCAGAAGTTAAGGACCGGCTCTTTGACCTCCCTCCCCCTCTCCGCGCTCCTGTCCGAACGTGCGGGCCGATCTTCCCCCTGGCTGATCAGCATGACAAAGCACTGGCCGGAGCAGAGCCTCTTGGCACCACCCGCTCTGTCCCACATCGGAGAACTCCACGACCATCAACTTGACTTCCACAGAAATGCGCAGCAGAGTTTTCCTACCAGCGGTGTAACGCGGAACTCTCCAGCCCAACATTGGTCTCACCATCCGGCTCAGATGGTTCCCCAGCACCCGCCGCGCTCGGAGAAGCCCGCAGCGCGCCCCGAACATCTCACCAGTGCCACAGCCTTTATGGATAAAACAATATCACCGGGCTCATCATACCCGAATGCTCCAGATGCCCACTTCAAGCAGGAAACTATTGCCCGGGACTCTTGGAACACCGAAAGGAAGAAGAGTAGGAGCAGCGATGGGAAGAAAAAGAATTATCAGCGGTATCCAAAACCACCGTACTCATATCTTGCTATGATCGCTATGGTCATCCAAAGGTCTCCAGAGAAGAAACTGACATTATCTGAGGTAATTACGAAAACACATCGTTCGTGTTTGTAAGTGCACGTAGTGCTTTAGGCACGAGGCTGCTTTTGAACTCACTTTATTTCCACAATATTCTGTTGAGGAAAATCACTCAGTTACAAAATATGTAACCTGCAGTTTGTTTACCAGGAAAGGTCTTTCCTATATTCCCATATTTTTTTTCTTCTTTTTAATTGTATTGTCAGTGCATGGACGGATTGCTGTTTTACAGTTTATTAAGTGACACAAACCAGTCACCTCTTGGTGACACTTGAGTGACCACCATCCCTACCATTCTTGGTTTGCTTTGATAAGGTTGGACTGCAGTGAAACCAGACACTGATCTGTAACAGGAAAGTGATAAGATACAATACATGGTAAAATCAGGTTTCACTTGGCCTTTAAGCTCTGTGTATTCACATCTATTCTTCATGCTTATGTAATTTTAATTCTTATGTTCAAGTGTAAACATCTGCAACATTCCAGTGTACAGCACTGAACGTACTCAAGTACTGTAACTTTAACTTTTAAGCCCCAGTAGATCTATGTAAAGTCATCAGTCATCAAATCAGTGTATGTTTAGTTAAGAATGTGCTTTAATTAGGTGCAAATATACTAAAATTCTCTGTCGAGAAGCTTCGTCTTTGATGCTTGTGTCGGACCACACAGTCATGCTGATATTTTTTGTTTTATTTCTAGATCCTCAAGGAGATCAGTACCCTCTTCCCATTTTTCAAAGGAAACTACAAGGGCTGGCGGGATTCCGTGCGACACAACCTCTCCTCTTATGACTGCTTTGTTAAGGTTTGTATGTTGAAAATGTATAAAAAAAACTTGTGTCAGATCGGCCTTGAGGGAAATATTGCTAGAAGTTTATATTATTATACAGCTAATGTAGATGAAAGTTAGAATATGGAGTTATTGTGATGGTTAATTGTGAAACTAGTCAGTACTGCCTGGCTGGCTTGTAAAGCACTCATCTCACTGTCCATCCTCCCTCCACCTGTAGGTGTTGAAGGACCCAGGTAAGCCTCAGGGCAAAGGTAACTTCTGGGCAGTGGAGCTGAGCCGTGTTCCTCTGGAGCTCCTTAAGAGGCAGAACACGGCTGTGTCGCGCCAGGACGAGACAATCTTTGCCCAGGATCTGGCCCCCTACATCCTACAGGGACACAAGCCAGAATCTGAACCGACCTCTGACCCTGTGACCTCCCTCCCTCCCATGCGCTCTGGAAATCCCTCCCCACCACAGGAGGACTTGTTCCGACCTAAGCTGGACTCGTCCTTTGCCATCGACTCCCTGCTACACAGCCTGCGACCCACCAGTGCCTCCGGGGATATGGATGTGACTACCAGGGACTGCTGGGGTGAGGTGGTGCACCCTCGGCCCTCTCCTCCTCCACGACCACGCTACGCATCCTCTGCCCGCAGTGCCTCTGCCAGCTCTGCCAGCCCAGCCTCCACCTCTTCCTCCTCCTCTGATGAAGAATGGAAAGGAGTGTCCCTGTCTGGGAAGCGTGTTCCTCCAGATGGTGAAGCCGGGTCAGACGGATATGAGGACTACAGGCCACCGCTGCACAAATCAGCCAGACGGGAGACTGTTACACCTCCATGGGAGCTCCCTACATCCTACGCCAAATATGCTCCCCCCAATGCTGTGGCCCCACCCAGCATGCGGTTCAACGGAGGTCCTCTAATGCCGCTGCATGGTGGGCTTCCCCTTTATGGCTATGGTAGCTCTCCTGTTGCACCTGGTCACTTCCTAGGTCATGCATATTGGCCCATCCTCCCCAGCGGGCGAGTTTCAGTCCAAGCCCCTCCCCTCATCATGGACCTGGACAACATGTTGCAGTCTGTGCCTCCAAATAAGAGTGTGTTTGATGTCCTAGTACCAGCCAATCAGAACCCTCACTCACATCATCAACCACCTAGTCAGTACACCCTGCAGAATGGACCTTCCCTAAACAGGTACCCTCAGTACTGACAGACTCTAAATTACCACCACTCAACCTGAGCTCCAGTGCCGCTCAAACATGCACGGATGTTAAACCACTATGATGCAGGGGGTGAGGTTTTAATCAAGAGCCACAAAGGAACCGCAGGTCTGCAGCAGCTCTTCCTAAACTGAGTCTCAATCATTGCCTCCAGCTCAAGCGAAGTTGCCTGTCTATGAGTAATATGCAAAGGGCGCTACACTGCCGTCATTGCTATTGGTGGATTCATGTTTTTAGCAAGAAGAAAAGCCAATCTTTTACTTTTTTTCCAAGCGCAGTATTTTTTAAAGAAATACCTTCCTTCGGTGGAGTATTACATGCTTTCATTAGGAGCAAAACTACCTCAAACAGCTATACAACAAAACCTATCTACCTCAGTCTTTCAGTTAAATAGAGTGTGTATTACTACAAGGTCTTTGCACTGCCAATGTTATTTGCACTGTTTTTTTTTTTATTGGCATGAATTTGCTTTCTTACATGAATTGCTTTTGAATGTTGTCTACCTATTGTGACTGCTGAATGTATTGTTGGATTTTTTTCTTGGATTTTACAGTCATGTGAAATACTAATGATGGGCTGGAATGTAGATGGTACATGCAGTAAATTTGAGTCTCAAATTGTCAAATACAGTGAAAAACATTGTTTCTTTGTCAGGGTTTCTGAGTTTGTTTGTTCAGATGTTTAATTATACAGGATAAGTCATTTACTGTAATGTTTTCCTGTCTTAAATTTCAGTGAGTCTGGACTGTTTGAATTGGTTCTGTGCAGCTACAATAGCATATTAACCTGATAGACAGTGGCCCTATAATCAGCTTTTTCATGTTGGTGTTTACTGATTGTGAATTTGACAGATTTAGCATAGAAGTGGGGTCAATTTTAGATTCTAATCAATCTGTAAAAACGCTGCATGTCCTCAAGACTATTACTGCGCAACTACCAGCATCTACCTCAAACTGGGACGTGTCTCCTGTGGACTTTGCACTGCCGGATATTTTTGCACTATTTTATTGTCATCACTATCATCTTCCAAAGGAAATTGCTTCTAAATGTCTGCCTACCTTGACAGGTGAATGTTTTTGTTAGTTTCTTGCCATTGTCCTGTGGTCTTGTTAAGGCTTTGTACAGTTCTGAGCTGAAGAGAAAGGTCAGCTCAGAGGTTTAAGTATCAAAAGAATGTCATGGAGTTTAACAGGGTATGTAATAAAATGCTGTTTATTTTAACTGTGCTGCTCAGTGTTCTATATAGCAATAAGTAAACTGAAACTGCACAATCATTTTAAACAACTTACTCTTTTGATTATGTGCATGTTGGTTTCTACTTTATCATTTCATTTATGTCACTTAGTTTTAGCACATCTGGTTTATTTGCTGGAACCTCTTTGTCTTTAAAGCTGGACTGTGGTGGTTCTGCACAGTTCAGCTAACATGCTTGATGTTTCCAGAAATCTATACATAGTGAATAGTCCAATATTTAGAGTTTGACCATTTTCACAGGAGAGCATAGATGCTATATCAAGGAAACTGACATAACTTTTTATTTTTAGTTCCACAAATGAATACTGAATACTTTTGAAGTTCAGGGTGGCATCTCTCCCCTTGGTAAATATGAAGCTTTATATTCTCATGGCAGCTACTTAGAGGGAGAGTTGTAGCAGCAGCATCAGAGGAGCGAAGAGGTCATTGCATTTCAAACCCCCCTGAGTACTTTTAATTGTTTTAACTCAAGAAACAAATGAGAAATTTACAACTTAATGTAAAAACATCTGTATAGACTGCCATCTGCCATTATCTTTGCACTGTGGTCCTTTGGTGTCTAAAATGTAGAGAAACACTGGTAAAAGTATCAGTACCATGCTGTATAAATGACTCTTTCACAAGTAAATGTCCTCAAAATGTTAAACAAACAATCATAAGAACTACAAGTACAATGTACAACAGGCTACCTCATTGTATGGTTAACTAGACTTTGAATACCAGTGTTTTTGTACTTTTTCATTTTTTTCTTTTATATCTACTTATCAGTTCAATGTTTCCTCCACAATTTACCCATTTTCCTGTTGCAGGAGCCATTAGGTGATCTATGACTCTACTGGTCATGTACTTGGACTAATGACATGCAGTCCAACAAAATATTATATGGTTGCATTTTTATTTCCAGATTGGCTGAGATGAGTGTTGTTCCTTTGTTTGAATGTGGACTTCTCTCTTGATTCATACTTGTTTTCTGTTTACAGAGAGTTTCACACTGTCCCATAACAAGAACACAGATTCTCAAGCTGATCATTAGTCAGTGTATAAAGTGGAAAGACAGATCGTTCCAGGCAGCAGCAGGGTGTGAGTCCCAAATCCTTTCAGTATGATAGATTGTTTTACCACAGGAATTGTGATCCATAAACAAGGAAACTATCTTTGATCCACAGTCCATGGTATCTGCATTGGAGTTTTCAACACACACACACACACACACACACACACACACACACACAGCTGATTTACATCAACAGTCCAGCAGCCATCAGCCTCCTGCTGCTTCCACTGCTGTGGCCACTACCCCTTTATCAGCTGCCTACGCATGCCTGCACTCCCTCACCGTCCTTGTTTCTCCGCTCCCTGATCATTCCTGAGACGGGAGGAAGGGACACCATGTCTCCATCCCTCAAGCACACACAACCATTCTGGGTTTTATCTCAACACTCCCTCTCATGAATTTACATGTATGACACTTCTTTCAACTGTAAGAAGTGAGTGACCAAAAACCCATGTGCATTGTATGTGTTGTTGTTTTTTTCAAACACTTGGAGGCAGCAGAGTGTTAATTGAACTATTTGTACAGCCTTCCTGCTTCTTTTACAAACTGCATACACAAATCTGAATGAGTCAAATCAATGTTCATTAACAATTTCACCAAACAACCCTTTAACTAAGAATTAAATTGATGACACAGAGCCCTCCCAAGAATGACTTTACATAAATAATATGGTATGGAGAAAAATCACAACTGCTACATAATAATTTTCACAATATGTCTTGATAAATCTTTATATATATAGCATTACATTTATAAACTCTTTCCAACAGATTGCCCCTGTCCTACACAAGAAATGTGTAACTACTGTTTTCATTGAAAGACATGATTTGGAAAAAGAGGACAATCTCATTAGTAGAAATGGGGTTTATTTGTCTTTTCTGATGAAATAGCCTAATAGAAGAACATCCAAGTTGTGGTGTTAGATAAGTGGCTGTTCTAGTTAAAACAGGTTTACTTTAGCTTACATACTTAAACCATAATTAATTTAATAACTGGAAAACATTTCAGTAGGCAAAAATATAATGGCAAATTTGGAGTCGGAATAAAATACTGGTTGTTGTAAACATACCTTGTAATATGTATTATCAAAATGGGACTACTAAACATGCCCAGAGTCACTATAATAAAAACATCTAATTAACAAGTGGAATGTTTTAACTGAGCAACACTTTTTATGCATCGATCAACAGAAATGTTTTTGATGCCATGTATAGTTTGTTGTAGACAGCTTTAAAGGAGCTATTTGGGAGTTTTACTATTGCTACATAGCCAGCATTAGCATTAACAGCTGTTTACTTACCAGTCTTTGGAGCAGCTTCAGCCATTGTTGTGTATACAAGAGGTTATAATACGCCCTCTGAGCAGCGCAACTTCTTCAGGACAGACTAAACGCCACAGTACCTCGGTATTGGAAAACGACGAGACAGTCCAACTGGGCTAGGTCTGGCTGGTTAGCACACTAACGTCAGTACAAGGAAATAAGTAATAAAAGTTTCCACTGCTGGGGACAACTCTTGGCAAGTAAAGAATGAAGTTTGCTGCTGAACATTTCCTCTAGACTGTTAAGTAAACAACTGTAAATGCTAATGTTGGCTATGTAGCAATAGAACAACTTAACAAATAGCTCCTTTGCCTGAGCTGTTGGAATTCAAACACTTTGCCTACTAATGTAAGTACAACCATTGTGTTAGAATATTTTTCATAAATCCTGAAAATATAGGCCTATGACATTTCTGAATGACATTATGTACGTCTATGAAATTATTTGTTAGCACACAGATACTGCAAGAGTGTGACCGAAAAACATTCTTGTCCTAGTGGTGTTGACTAAGATGGTGACAGCTGTTAGCTAGCTGCTAGCCTACATCTAGGTTATTTTTTCACAGTATGATGATGAGAGTGTTGCTACCACAGTTTTCCTTGCTCCTTTAAAATAATCTTTTCATCTTTATCAAAGATCCTCACTTTACTTTTCCATCTTTCATTGTGCTTGTGTTCCTATAATTTCCCCATCTGTTTACCTCCTCTCCTATGGCTTCTCTGTTAACTCTCTTGCTTTCTTATTTCTTCTCACACTCCCTCTTGTGCCATTCGGTATTCAAATACACTGCCCCTCTCAAGGAAAGTCTCATTCAAGCGCCTGCGCTTGGTCTGAGGTCTGTTTGCTTCCTCTTCTCCTCCATATCCTCCTCCTCCAGGGGTGTAGAGGCAGAACATGTCCTGTAGGGGGAGACAGACAAGGAGAAGAAATAACTCACTTTTCAGTAACTGAAAAATATTTCAAGTTTCTCTGTCAGCACTGGTGGGTGACTTCCATTTGCTAACACTCTTAATAAACAATAATTTTTTTTTTTAAGTTTATTTTCATATTTGTACTCCTTTAACATTTTCATGCAAAACAACAAAATTAGTTTTCTTGTATTTGGAATACGCAGAGCTATTACTGTTATTCTGATAATGTTTGTTTTCACATCTTACCCCGGGCTGGAGGCTGACACTGGTTTTGGCTCCTAGGTTGAGGACTCTGCCATCTGCCCTGTTGAGCAGGTTCAGCCCTGCTGCTCCGTCCCCACCCCCTGGCGAATAGACAAGTGAGTGAGTTTACATAGTAAAAGAAAGAGACTGCTAGCTATGAGGAAAAATGCAAAACCATGTCAAAGACCAATAAATAACCTAGCTTCA